CTGACAACCCCAATACTACCTGTTATGTTGTTTCTGACGATATCTTGCCGATAAATGTTCACATGTTCTTTACTTACTGAATCTTTAGACCTATCTATATGAATGTTGTTGTTATTCACAGTTGGATCACATATAGACTCACTTCCCATCGAATCATCAAGCTGCGAGTCAACCTCACCATGAGGTGCTGTACCAGGGTCATCTTGCTCATGTTCCATCTGAAAAGCCAAGCAAAATTTATGATTAAAGTATTCGAGATAAATCCTCACAAACCAGAAGAATCATTCACATTGTTTCACCAATAAATATGTACTTTCTTCTTCAAAAACTGTCCACAAAAACTAGTCTATATTCTTCAGATTACCGACTCATTCTCAAATTTGTTGCCCAAAATCATTCATGTGAAGACAATTAACTCTTCGCAGCTGGAAATAACTTATCTAACACCAAATAGCTATAAAAAAATTATAGAAAGATGCAACAATCCATACTAGTAGTAGCCAAAAAAAAAAAAAAATTGCGCTAAAAGTCAAAACGAAGATATAAAAAACATGATTAGCTTTCGAAATTGATTTCAAGCTTTACACAGAAAAATCTCTAAAGAAAATCTCAAAGCAAAGCACGCTCATAAGTACATTCCGATTGTTCGTTCAGAAGCCATAAAATCAGAAATATCTATATCCCAATCCAAGTTAATAAACGGACCCTTAAGATCATACCCAGGTAAAACAAACATCACGAAAATAATCACATTGAGCTTGGGGATAAATTTTTTGAAAGATTCAAACAGAGATCAACAAATCGTTTTTTATCGAGCAAAGTACCTGTTGGGAATCTCGTGGAAGTGATCGGAGGAAATCAAACGAAGAAGATATTAGAATCGAGTTTTCGTTTGATGATCGCAGATACAAAGAATTGATTTTTTTTTTGTGTGGAAGAATTGAATTGTAAAAGGGAGCGAGGAGAAAGAGAAAGATTGAAGGCAAGGTTAGGGACGAGCTGGGGATTCCTTCTCTTTCTCTCTTCCTGAGCGGCGTCAAGGGTATATTCGTCATTATGTATTTTCATGTCTAA